CCCGGAGGGATGGGGCGGGCGGCCGCGGCCGCCTAAGATGCCGGCCATGCGGGGGCTCCTGGCGCCGCAGAACACCTTCCTGGACACCATCGCCACGCGCTTCGACGGCACGCGTGAGTCTGACCCTCGCCCCACTCGCTCTTGGACCAGCGGTCTCCCGCCAGGGCTCCAACCTGTCCTGCACCCCCATCTCTGCTTGGCGCCCGCCTGTCCTCATTCTCTCCACCTATCCCGCCCCTCTTGAAGCTGGGACCATCTTGTCCTTCCAGGCGCCGTTTCCCCGAAGGGTTCAGGGTCAACACTGCTCCTGGCAAGGCAGTCCCTTTAGAAGTCCCTGGATGTGGGGCCTGGGATGCTCTGCTCGCAGGGGCGCAAACCCGGACCTAGTCAACCTGACACATGCCATCCCTGCGTTTGGCGCTATTTCAACGACTACCCTCGGACTGGGGGGTGGGGTGGAGAGAGGTGCGGGAGCAGTGCTTAGGGACAGACAGGAGGGCTCAAAAACAGATTCAGAAAAGAGATTCGCAAACGGAGATGGAGTAGGCGGGACTCAGGAAAGCACTGTGTCCAAGCCTATATCACAGCCTAAACCCATCAGCCTTGGGGAGCCCGTCTAGCCCCAAAGAAGATGGTGTTGGGGACTCCCTCCGGGACTACGAAGTTTAGAGAAGGCGACCTGAGCTTCTGGATCCGGGCTTCCGGGTGGACTCTGTGCACAGGGAAAGTTGTGAAAGCCCCCTCCCTCCTCCTCTTCCCGCACACTCACCCCCCAGTGGGGCTTCCCAGCTCTCTGCCTAGCGTCCTCCATGGTCTCCAGTTCCTGAAAGGGGGCGGGAGCCCATCACTGAGCTGTCCCCCCTCCAGGCTCCTCCATCTGCTTTGCCAGTGCGCTTGGCTCCTGCAGCCTGCTGATTCAGCGCCCCCCACTCCCCAATGCATTCCTGGCTCCAGGCTCCGGTGTTCAGCCACCATTCTTACAGCCCCATTCTTGATCACATTCACTAATTCCTGAGCTAAATCAGGCAGCTAGGGCTCAAACACCCAAGGGCAGGATGGGTGGTGGCCTGGGTTGCCTCCCAGTCCAGGTGGGCCCCAATGGGAGGAGCCAGACAGCCAACCTGGGTAACCTGGCTGGTGGGTGAGCCTGGAAGAGGTAGAGGTGGAGCTGCAGGTGGTCTGGAGCATCCCCAAACCCATCTCTTACCCCAAACTGCTCAGGACACACTACAGAGGGCTGCCCACACAGAGCTGCATTCACCAACCTCAGCGTTCACACATGCTGGGTCGCAAATGCACTCACACATGCTGCTAGGAGCGGGTGCTTGCAGGGCACTGACACACAGGTGACACACACTGATTCCCATTCATAAACAGCTCCTGCCCTACCCCCACCCCTAACACACACAGGCTTGCTGGGGTTTGTGAAACCCCTGCTTTGGTTGTAAGCATTTGGAAACTGAGGGGTGGTTGCCTCCGGCCCCTTCACCCCATGCCTCCTCTGAGAGGTGCTCTCTTGCAGACAGTAACTTCGTGCTGGGCAACGCCCAGGTGGCGGGGCTCTTCCCCGTGGTCTACTGCTCTGATGGCTTCTGCGACCTCACGGGGTTCTCCCGGGCTGAGGTCATGCAGCGGGGCTGCGCCTGCTCCTTCCTCTATGGGCCAGACACCAGTGAGCTCGTGCGCCAACAGATCCGCAAGGCCCTGGATGAGCACAAAGAGTTCAAGGCTGAGCTGATCCTGTACCGGAAGAGCGGTGAGGGGCCACCTGGACAGCCTGTCTCACCTTCGCAGTCTCACCCAGACTGGCACCCACCCTGGCACCCACCCCATCCACTGTCCCTCCTCTTTTCCATTCCCATCTTCTCCAGCTCCCCCTTGCATCCCATCTTCCCATCCATCCATCCATCCTTCCAACCCCTCTTCCTCCAGCCCACCTCTAGTCTGCACCCCCTCCTTTCTACCACCCTCACCCTAGCCTCAGCCTCCACTCAATTCCAATCCTGGGTTTCCCTCATTCAGCAGAAAACAATCCCCATCTCAGCAGGACAGATCTATGAACACACATGTCTGACTGTCATGTCTACTCACCCATGCCTCCCCCCCAATGCCACTCCCTTCCATCAAGCCTGTCCTAAGTGGGACCAGCTGCCACTCCTTCCCCAGGAAGCCCTTGGATCCTGCTTGTGTCTTGGCCAGGATGTCGGTGGAGCCAGGGCCTCTGTCGCTTTAGGCAGGGCTGACAACAGGAGTTGGGCTGAGTCTGTCTTTGTGCCCAGGGCTCCCCTTCTGGTGTCTCCTGGATGTGATACCTATAAAGAATGAGAAAGGGGAGGTGGCCCTCTTCCTGGTCTCTCACAAGGACATCACTGACACCAAGAACCGAGGGGGCCCCGACAACTGGAAGGAGACAGGTGGGTGGCCGTGGGGCCGCTGATTTAGCTACTGTGGCTGGGGTGTTGAGTGCCTCAGGCTGGATGGGGCCATGGTATCCAGCCTGGGCCTGTGGGTCCCCCAGCCCTCTTGCACTCATTGATTCCCACTCTGGCTGGCTGAGAGGCCTGTGCTGCTCTCTGCTCTACATGCCCTGGTATGGAAATCTTTTTTCCAAATAGACCGGTTGAGATAAAGTTGGAGTTTTTAGGGGCCGGCCCGTGGCTCACTCGGGAGAGTGCGGTGCTGATAACACCAAGGCCATGGATTTGGATCCCTATATAGGGATGGCCGGTTTGCTCACTGGGTGAGCGTGGTCCTGACAACACCAAGTCAAGGGTTAAGATCCCCTTACGCAAATAGACCGGTTGAGATAAAGTTGGAGTTTTTAGGGGCCGGCCCGTGGCTCACTCGGGAGAGTGCGGTGCTGATAACACCAAGGCCATGGATTTGGATCCCTATATAGGGATGGCCGGTTTGCTCACTTGGGAGAGTGTAGTGCTGAAAACACCAAGTCAAGGGTTAAGGTCCCCTTACCGGTCATCTTTTAAAAAAATAAAGTAAAGTTGGAGTTTTTAAATCAACTTTGCTAAGAAACTGAAAACAAACTCCATAGTGCCTTCGAAGCACACCTTTCTGACCAGTTAGTGAGGATGAGAACAGACTCATGTGGTTCCTTTTTCCCCACGGCAAACCTGACTAGGGAGGCCTGGCCAAAGCCCTCTTTTTTTATTTTTATTTTTTGGCAGCTGGCCTGGTACAGGGATTTGAACCCATGACCTTGGTGTTATAAAACCACACTCTAACCAACTGAGCTATCCAGCCAGCCACAACACTCTAAGTACTTGGGGTCTTTCCCTTCTTGTATCCCCCAAGAGCTGGGGCAGGCCTTTGGGCAGGTCACAAAGCTGTCATCAGAAGCTGCACCAAGGCCTCTTTGCCACTTGGGGATCCTGGGTGTATGCTCCATTCCTGTTCCCCCATCCCCAGCCCTGGGTCTGCCTCTCCTGATGTCAGTCTTCATTATCACCCTCTGGTCCCTGCACCTCTGCTGATGGCCTCCTGCTGGCTCTGCACCCCCTTCCCTGTAGACCCCCTTCCCACTTCCTCTCCCAGGCCTTTCCCCATGGAGTTCCTCCCCTTTCTCGCCTGGTCCAAACCTCCTCCTCCTGGAAACAGGCCCTGGGAGTAGTGTCTGTAAGCACCCCTAGGACTGCTGGGGTTGGCAAGTGACCCCAGGAAATGAGGAATGCTTGAGTCCCCAACTCTAAACAGACTTAGTGGTCACTGAGCCAGAGCAGTCCATGGGTCAGCAATTGGTGTTTTATACCCAAGACCCTATGCTGGGGTGTGCGGGCCCCCCCCATCATCTTCATGGGTCCCTTCTTTTGCAGGTGGTGGCCGGCGCCGATATGGCCGGGCAGGAGCCAAAGGCTTCAATGCCAACCGGCGGCGGAGTCGGGCTGTGCTTTACCACCTGTCTGGGCACCTGCAGAAGCAGCCCAAGGGCAAGCACAAGCTCAATAAGGTGGATTGAGCAGTGGGGTGTGTGTGTTGGGGGTTGGGGGCAGGGAGGGGCAGATGGAAGAGATGGGAGAGGGGAACTGGGCCCACCACAGAGAGAATGTCCAGGGGACCACCCAGGCCCCACCAGCACTTTGGGGGTTGGGACTAAGAGAGGAAATGTCACATGCCTGATCCATCAAAGGTGTAGAGGAAAGTCTTGGCCTTGGAGTCAGATGGGCCTTGGTTCAATCCTGGCTCCTCCCCTAAAGCAACTGTGTGATCTCAGCTGAGACATTTGACCTCCCTGATCCTCAGGTTTCTGATCTATCTATAAAATGGAGACTCTAAAGCTTACATCAGAGGTTGCTCTGAGAATGCAGGGAGAGAAAGGAGTTTACTGCCCATCCTGGACATTATTCAAACTCAGCCTGTGCCAATATCCTTTCCTCTCTGCCTGGACCTGCCCTGGCTCACTCAGGGTGTGTTTGGGGAGAAGCCAAACTTGCCCGAGTACAAAGTAGCTGCCATCCGGAAGTCGCCCTTCATCCTGCTGCACTGTGGGGCGCTGAGGGCCACCTGGGACGGCTTCATCCTGCTTGCCACGCTCTACGTGGCTGTCACCGTGCCCTACAGTGTGTGTGTGAGCACAGCCCGGGAGCCCAGCACTGCCCGTGGCCCGCCCAGCGTCTGTGACCTAGCCGTGGAGGTCCTCTTCATCCTCGGTGCGTGCACTCTGCACCCCCACCCCACCCTGCCCCAGGCGCCCTCAGGCTTTGATGGGGACAGTCTGCATGGCTTCCAGTGCCCCACAACCGCTCCCCTCGCCCTCCCCTTTGTGACCTGTGAGCTTGGAAATCAGACCTACGTTCCAAACGTGTCCCTGCCACTAATGTGCTACACGACCCTGGGCCAGTCTCGGCCTCTGCAAGCCTCAGTTTCTCCCTCCATAAAATAGGCATAATGATATCTGCCTGCTAGAGTTACTGCGAGAACTAAGTCAGACAATGTACGTAAGCAGCGGGAACAGTGTCAAGCATTGAGCAGGTGCCAGTGAAGAATGGCTTCCCCACCCCATGCTGACTCCCACCCGATTCCCCACAGACATTGTGCTGAATTTCCGTACCACATTCGTATCCAAGTCGGGCCAGGTGGTGTTTGCCCCAAAGTCCATTTGCCTGCACTACGTCACCACCTGGTTCCTGCTGGATGTCATTGCTGCGCTGCCCTTTGATCTGCTAAACGCCTTCAAGGTCAACGTGGTCAGTATGGCTGGGCTGGGTCAGTGGGCTTTGGGGTGGGACAGGTGGGGCCAGCCTGGGTGACCTCCCTCCCTTCTTCCCCCATCTCAGTACTTCGGGGCCCACCTGCTGAAGACCGTGCGGCTGCTGCGCCTGCTGCGCCTGCTCCCGCGGCTGGACCGGTACTCGCAGTACAGCGCTGTGGTGCTGACCCTGCTCATGGCTGTGTTCGCCCTGCTCGCCCACTGGGTGGCTTGCATCTGGTTCTACATCGGCCAGCAGGAGATCGAGAGCAGCGAATCCGAGCTGCCCGAGATTGGTACTGGAGGCTCCTTGTGTGTGCGCGCGTGCATGGGGGTGCATACATGGCAGAGGAGTGTGAGTGCAAGTGTGTGTGCTGACACCAGGTATCACAGACGTGTGCAAGTCTGCATGTGTGCCTGTCAGAGAAGAGGTGTGCAGGTATGAGTGTGACAGCCGCCATGTGGCAGGCCTGCCCTCCAGCAGACAGGCATTGTGGAGAAAGCCTGGTGGGCTGCCTGGGGAATGCCAGTCACCCACTGTGGCCTCCTTGTGGCCAGATATTTGTCATGTCCCTAAGCCCCTGATCAGCTGGGAAGGCCAAGCAGGGAGCCGCTGCCCTTGAGGGTACCTCTGATGCCTGGTGCTTCCCTGCCGCCCTCTCAGAAGCTTGTCCCCAACACCTCAGCTTCTAAGACCCCGCCCCACTTTTGTCACCTCTGGCCTGCATCTCTTAGCCGTGGCTCCTCCACTCTCCCCCAGCCTCTTCTGTGTCCCCAGCATCTTCGCTCTCCTTCATTTCACCTCCACTTCCGCAGCTCCTCCCGCTGCTCACCGCCCACGCACATCTTAACTCCTGCCGAGAGGGCTTCCACCCCCACCTCGCTACCCAGAATGTTGCCTGAAGGTCGCAGTGACCTTCTGGGGCTAAACCCTTATCCTCCTGGAAGTCCCTGTAGCATCTGACCCTGCCACCACTCTGCTGCTTGATAAGGCCCTCAGCTGGGCCTCCTGTTTGTCCCCAGTGTCTCCCCATTCCAGGGTCTCCAAACAGACTGTCCTCTCATCTCTCCAACCCCCACCTGATTTTCCCTTGGCCATTCCACTGAGGCCACTGCATGGACATCTCAACTTCCACCCTTTCTTTGAATCCTAGCCATTCCATTCCAGCCATTTCTAGCTCTCTATGCTCCTCGGGTCCAAAATTGAACACATCTTCTTCCTACCAAGCCGTCCAAAGCTTCCCAATAACTGACACTGAGCGCAAGTTTCCAGCTACTCAGGCAGCCTCTCAGGATTGTCTGCTCCTTGGTGGGGTCACCAGGCATCCAAGTCAGCCTTGGAAACCTGCTCTGATCTGTTCTCTGGGGACATTGAGGCTCTTGTGAATCCTCTCTCCTTTGCCAAGCCCACGGGAGGTCAGCGTGTGCCCCAGAGTGCTCTAGTTGCTGAGCATGTGGAAACTGGGACACTCCGGGCAGCACCAGCTCCTTGGCACCTGCCCTTCCCAGCAGGAGTCTAGTAGAGGCTGCTCTGGGGTCAGCAGATACAGAAGCAGAGGGCTTTGAGAGGGACAATGGTGAAACAAAGCCCTGACCCTGTCTCCAGCACCACTCAAATGGCTGAGAAACCAAATCCCCCGGTTGACCTCTGCTTCCCTCAACAGGACCCAGACACCCTTGGTCTTGAGTCTACAAGGCTCCTCTGTTAGGAGCACCTCACAGAGGTTGCTGATCTGACATTATGAAGACCTCTGGCTCCTGGGGGGGCTCTGGGCCCCACCACAATGGGCATGGGGGTGTGGGGGGCACTAACTCCCTTGCAGATATGCATGTTGATTGCTTTCACCCTTGACCCCTGAGTTCCAGATGGTTTCCTTCTATTTGGAGCTGGTACTAGTCCCTATGTGGGGGGTTTCCAAGTCCTTCACATCATCGTCTCCCCTTTCTTTCACCAGGGAAACTACCCTCTAACTGGGTTGGTGCCAAACCCAGACCTCCCAAAGTCCAGTCCTGAGAAGAGATATCCTTGTAGGGGGAGGTGAGGCTGGGATGGGAGGGCGGGCTGCTGGCCCAGCCCTGTCTGGCAGGAGGCTCCTTATCTGTGGCTGCCTTGCCTTGGTTCCCTGTTCCACTGCCCATGGTGTGGACAGAGCTCCTTCCCTAGATTCCCATTAGGCTAGTGGGGATGGGCTGGGTTTTCAAAAGATTGGCTAAATATTGAGGGAGATAACCCAGGGCATTGCTCAGTGTGAAAGCCACCAGCCCCCAGAACAGCCTCTGCTGTCCTGGCCCTCCCCACATGGAGGCACCAGGGGCTGCTTGATGCCCCATGGCCAAGGTTGAGACAGGAAGAGCCCCCCGCCACCCCCAGCCCCACCCTTCTTCCTCCTGGGCATCTGGCTTCACCCCAGAGGCCCAAGAAAACGATGGCGATGGCCGATGGCCGTGAAGAGTTTTGACTCCTCCACTGCATTCTCATAGCACACAATGGAGGGTGGAGCCTCACTTTGGCACAGGCCTTAATACATCCCCCCAAATTCCATAGCCTGGAATTCGATGCCCTCAGTGTTAACCCCACATCCTACCCCAACTAAGCTACTTGCCTGTACTTGTCTTAAATCTTCATCTCCAGTTTTGGGTCATGCCTTTCCCTCCATCAGGAATGAATCCCCTCTCAGTTTCTTTGTATCAAACCCCTGCCTATCCTTTGAGATCAAGCATGAGTGTCCCCTCTTCCAGGAAGCCTTCCAGCTTTAGCCCATAGCACCTTGCTTAGAGCCCCTTTGTGTGGCACCTCTCAGAGGCAGCTCCTACTCTGCATTATCTGGTCTTCTAAGCTGGTGCGTGTGGGAAGCTCCGAAGGGGGTTGGGGGCAGCTCCTGGCACACAGTGTGTGAGGCTGCTGAACGAACGGGTGGGGGACGAGGGGCAGGCATGGGGACCAAAGGGACCTGCATGCATGAGGTGATAGGGATACAGTGGAATAGGGGTCTGTGTATTGAGGTGGGAAGAGCAGAGGGCATGTGCAGAGGTGGGGTCCCAATGCAGCCTGTGACCCTGAGCCACCCCCTGCACTATCCTCTGCCTCTCCATCCTAGATCAGCCCATCTGCCCTGTTTCCCTCACTTTCCATGTTCCCAGCTCTGCCAGGACCTTTGTGGACCCTAGGAACTCCCACCCACCACCCTACAACTCCCACCACCCTACAGCTAGGCTCAGAGTGACTTCTGGCAGCCATGGGCTTGTGAGAAACCCCAGTACACAGCTCAACTTCCTGCCAACGCCAGGCTGAGAACGTGGGGCCAAGGGGAACACAGGGCAAAGTCAGCCTCAGCCCGGTGGCCCAGTCTGGCCTGTGCGTGTTTGCGTGTGCATGTGCATGTACATTCGTATGCCTGTGTGAGTGTACAGGTGCCTGCCTGTGGCCTCTGAGTGCCTTCACCTGTGTGCTAGTGTCCATGCAAGTTATGTCCCCACCCCTGCCTATGTGTCAGTGTGCAGGTGCCTGTATTCCTTTGTCTCCCAAGTGTGCCCAGGCCTTTTCAGTGTGAGTGGCTGTGGCCATGGCTGGGTGCCTGTAAGGTGCTCACATGTGTGTCCTTGACTTCTCAACCGTGGGGGGCACGTGTGTAGCCTCGACAGTGTGTCTGGACAAGTCCATGCAGGTGTGCTTGAGAACGTGCACATGGGTTGGGTGGTTTGTGTGGTTGTGGGGAAGGACAGGGCTGAACGGGGCAGGGAGGGGCCTTTCTGGAGCAGACAGGCTCAGAGAAAGACAGGAAGAGGAGTCTGGGGACAGGGCAGAGGAGGTGGTCTCAGCCGTCCAGCCTTAGGAATGAGGCTGTGTGTACAGTGAGTTCCCCCCTCCCCGACCCAGTCTGTTTGCTCCTCCAGCTGGGCCTGTTACCTGGGAATAGTGCCAGCCACGGGGAGGAGGATGTGATACTCCTTGTGCCATCCTTGGCATCAAAAGGAGCCGGCTGGGGAGATGACAACCTCTTCCTCATGTGCTTGTCTCGCTGGGGGTGCAGAGGGGTGTGCTGGGCTGGCAGAGAAGGGGGATAGTGGCGGGAAGCTGTGGGGGTGGATCTGCCTCTGCATGTCCCCCACCCTTGGGGATGCCAGCGGGCACACCTGTCCCCCAGTGCAACAGGGTCCTCCCATCTGCTCAGGCCCTCCCCCTGCCCCCTCTCCAGGCTGGCTGCAGGAGCTGGCCCGCCGGCTGGAGACCCCTTACTACCTGGTGGGCCGGAGCCCAGCAGGGGGGAACAGCTCTGGTCCGAGTGACAACTGCAGCAGCAGCAGCAGCAGCGAGGCCAACGGGACGGGGTTGGAGCTCCTGGGCGGCCCGTCACTGCGCAGCGCCTACATCACCTCCCTCTACTTTGCGCTCAGCAGCCTCACCAGTGTGGGTTTTGGCAACGTGTCCGCCAACACGGACACTGAGAAGATCTTCTCCATCTGCACCATGCTCATTGGCGGTGAGAGCGGGCTCGACGGCCTCGACGGCCTCCGCCTCCCTTGGCCCACCTCTGTCTCCTCCCACCCCAGGCCCACCTCTGCCTCCCCTGGACTTACTCCCAGACTTCTGGCCCCCAGGCAGCCCCTCCCTTCCCACCTCCTCCAGGGCCCTGAGACCAGAGATTCTCCTGCTTTAGGTTGTCCACGGAACACGAGGCCAGGGCTGGAAGAGACCCAGCGGCCCATGTGCCTTGCCTGAGAGAGTGCGTCGGGGTGGGGGAGAAGGGAGGACCGACGTGTCCAGCATGGTGTCAGGCCAGGCCAGGCCAGTCCTGTAGATGACCACCTCTTGGGCGGGCCCGTGGCTCATTCGGGAGAGTGCGGTGCTGATTGACCGCCTCTTGTCACCCTCCCCAGCCTTGATGCACGCGGTGGTGTTTGGGAACGTGACGGCCATCATCCAGCGAATGTATGCGCGCCGCTTTCTGTACCACAGCCGCACTCGCGACCTGCGTGACTACATCCGCATCCATCGCATCCCCAAGCCCCTCAAGCAGCGCATGCTCGAATATTTCCAGGCCACCTGGGCTGTGAACAACGGCATCGACACCACCGAGGTATGGCAGGCCTCCAGGGCTGACCCTCCTGGCCTTTGCTCCCACAAGGGTTTTGCACTTGACCTAACATGATCAGGGGGTGGGTGAGGAATGCTGAATTTTGGCCTCTTTGCTCCCATTCTCTCTGGGGGGACAGCAGGATGGGTCAGAAGGCATCCAAGAAGGCTTGGAGGCCCCTTTCAACCCCAATCAGGTCTGGGGGCCCTGTGCTCACTGACGTCTGAGCCTGAGGCCTGGAGGAGGAAAGCTGGGCTGCTCCTGGGAGCTAAAGTGACTGAGGGGGAGGCAGAGAGAGCCCTCCTGGCTGATGGCAGCCTGTGTGGAGCTCGGTATTGTGCAGGATGCCTCAAGGGCCCTCTCATGCCTCGCCTTGCTCCTGGGGTCTGCCAGGGTGGCAAGGGGCTGGCTAGAGGCTGCCTCCTCTTCTGCTGCCCACAACCCTCCCTACCCACTCGCCTGCAGCTGCTGCAGAGCCTCCCAGACGAGCTGCGCGCAGACATTGCCATGCACCTGCACAAGGAGGTCCTGCAGCTGCCACTGTTCGAGGCTGCGAGCCGTGGCTGCCTGCGGGCGCTGTCCCTGGCCCTGCGGCCCGCCTTCTGCACGCCTGGCGAGTACCTCATCCATCAGGGCGACGCGCTCCAGGCCCTCTACTTTGTCTGCTCCGGCTCCATGGAGGTGCTCAAGGGTGGCACCGTGCTCGCCATCCTAGGTCTGTGAGGGTGGGAGAGGGCACGGGGTCTTGTGTGTGTGGGGGGGTGGAATCTGCAGAAAACCCAGAGGGGAGATGCACGCAAGGCCACCGGGGGATAAATAGCTAGGATGGATTCAGGAGTAGCCCTGAAGTGCTTGGAAAAGCTCAAAGAAGACCCAGTGACCACAGGTGGCAACACAAGGAGGGTGACATGATCACGGGGGTTCCTGGGGCAGAGCAAGTGGAGGGCCAGTCTGTGAGGGGACAGGGGGCAGCACTTCCTGCCAGGAGGAAACACAAATGCTGGGGATGGAAGTGCTGGGGAGAGTGCTGAGGCAGGGCTGGGAGAGGAGGAAGGAGTTCTGTCTTTGTCGGGAGGTGAGATGCTACTTTCCTGGGCAGATTGCAGAGGCCTGGAGGCGAGATGGTGACAGCAGAGCTCAGCCTCCAAGTGGCTGGGATCTACACTGTAGTTACACACTTCTCTTCTTGGCAAAAGAAAGTGGCAAAAATGAGGAATCAATTCCCTAGGACTGCAGCTGGGGAATGGACATGATAATTGTGCTGAGCATAGGAAGGGGTCTCACAGTGGGACAAGCCCTGTCCCAGCCCCTCACACGCTTTGTCCTGCTCCAACCTCACAAAACCCAGTGGGATAGGAGCTATCATTACTCCCATGTGGCACAGAAGGAGAGCAAGGTCAGAGAGGTTGATGAACAGCTAGGGATTGGCCAACTGGGGCTGGAACCCAGTCTGCCCGACTCTAAATCTCACACTTCTTACCTGGCGCTCCTGGGTGCTCTGGGGGAATCATGACCAGCAGAAGGGGAACGATCTCTGGAGGTTTGGACATGCACCTTAGGCTTTAGGAAAGCACATTTGATCACTCTAGGAAACACAGGGCTGCATCCATGAAAAACTGCCAAAGGGGAGCACAGCTCTGTGGCTGTGGGAGGCTCTCAGTGGTGACCCCAGAGGGCGAGGAGCACTGGGACCTGCTTGGGTAATCAAGGGACTCATACACAAGATAAGGGAGGTGGTGACCCGACCACAGCTGGCCACAGCTGAATCCTCAGACAGCCAAGGCACTTGCAGACTTGCTGCGGGGACAACTGAAGAAGCCTGGATGGGCTGAGGTTTGTCAATAACCTGGCAATCCCCAGTGAAGATTAGAAGCAAGAATAAGAACCAGGAAAGTGGGATGGAGTTGCCAGATGTCCATCCTTGCTCCCTGGAGCAGGAGGATCTTCCAACAGGAAATAGAAGGAAAAAAATATCATCAGGGGTCTCGCAGCCTGAGAGAGGTGACAGACTGCTGACGCCCTTCCTTTTGTGTCTCATGAGTATGACTTCTGGGCCTGGATGCAGTTTATGCCAGAACTAAGAAAGCAGAGTTATGCCACTCAAGTGTGGCTGGCAATCCTTGAGAAATTATGGACAACTGGAGAGAGATCCAGAAGGGCAGAAAGACAGATTGTGACAATTGCAGACTAGTCAATCCAAAGCCAGATTGCCAAGTGGATTATTAAACAGGAGGTTTTCAGCTTGGAGTCAAAGGAGCAGTGAGGTGGGGAGCCAGCACAGGTCCTCTCAGAGCATCTCTTAGCTGATGCCAGGTCTCAGAATAGCCACGTTTGGGGTTATTCGGAGGAGCCGCAAGAATGGCCGCTGCCTGTGCTCCAGCCTTTGCCTCCACTATGTCCTCAGCACCAGGACTTTAGCCACCATTGATCCATCCTGTCCCTGCATATATATTCTGCATGAACTATTTCCCTGTTGACTAGATATCCCGATGAACGCCTAGTTCCCTCAGTCATGACCTGGTTTCTGCTTTGCCTGCACCCCGGCCTCCCCGCCTGCTGCCCTAGCTGAACATCCAGGTGTGGCCTTCCTGCTCTGGTGGCTGAGGCTGGCTACACCTTCACCAGTGTTGGTTCCAGCCCCGCCTCCACTTCTGCACTGACTACAGCTGCGCGTGTGCAGAGCTGACGTGGGGAAGAAAGGAGGTTTGAGGAGCTGGGCCTGGCGGGTCTGGCTGAGACTGCAGCCTGGAGGGCAGCCTCTGGTCCCTGAGATGCTGTCCTTAGTCCTGTCCTGCTTCTCATTTCTATCACGCCTCTTGGATGAAGACAAGAAACACGCGCTTATCCTATTTCAGATGACACAAAGAGAGAGCTCATTGCTCAGATGATCACACTGAGATCCAAACAGCTCTCAGAAGGAACCAGAAGGATGGCCTGAAACCAAGAAAATAAAATTCTACACTTGGAGCAAAAGTCCACGAACATTTAGAGGAGACTTCCAAGCTTGGTGTGCACTGCTGGCAGTTTGAGGTGGCCCTGGGGAGTGGTAGTGCCCATCTTCGTCCTGAAGGACAGGCAGCACTCTCGCAGTGTGAACCGTCTGGCAGCGGGTTGGGCTGCCTTGTGAGGGTTGTGAGTGCTCTGCCCAAACCCAGATTGCATGCCTGTCCCTGGAAGGAAAAGGAAGGAAATGAAGCTATTGGTCATCTCTGTGTCAGGCACTTTATCTACATTAACTCGTTTAATCTTCACTGTGTCCTTGGACGGACATACCCTGTTTCATTCACTCAAAGATACACATTCCTCCCCTGCACGCCCCTCCACCCCCAATTTAACATGTCTGAGATTGGGCTGCAGACTCTAATTGATGCCATTTTACAATTGCTGTCAGCCAGGTGGCAGTCTCAACCTGGCGGTGGGAAAACCCTCTATTGACACCTTCTGGTGAGATCAAGAAAACTCCCTAGATGCAGTGAAATGCAGCATCTCTTGTATGGAAGAGACAGCCAGGGCTTAGGGAGGTGAAGTAACACCTGACATTTTCACTGTGTCACATGGGGCACTAAACTGAGGGTTCTGAACACTGGTCTCCAGACAAGCTGCACCTGAATCATCTGTGGGGATTAAAAAAAAAAAAATCAGATGGTGGAGTCTCTCACAGATTTGATGTTGCTGTAGATAGGGATGGGGTCTGAGAGTGATCACTTTAGCTTCCCAGGGGATTGTAATCCACAGCTAGTCTGGGAACTACTAGAATTGATGACTGTCCATTCTCTTTCAGAGCTGAGATTCTGATGTTTCGCCACAGTTCTTTTGATTCTGAATGTGTTTGGGAGCCTGTGTGGGGAGCCAGTGAGGCAGGCAGCAGGGGTCAGGCCATGGCCTGGGCCTCGCTGCTCCCCTCTGTCCTTGCTCGGAGGCTTCACAGTGGGGTCTCGCTGAAAAGGCTCAGCTCAGCCCAGGAGGGAGGCTCAGCAGCCCCGGCCACCTCCCCTCTCCTGGTGGCTGAGGTCAGGGCTTCCTGACCTCTGCCTCCTCTCCCCAGGGAAGGGCGATCTGATCGGCTGTGAGCTGCCCCGGCGGGAACAGGTGGTGAAAGCCAATGCTGACGTGAAGGGGCTCACGTACTGCGTCCTGCAGTGTCTGCAGCTGGCCGGGCTGCATGAGAGCCTTGCGCTGTACCCCGAGTTTGCCCCGCGCTTCAGCCGCGGCCTCCGAGGGGAGCTCAGCTACAACCTAGGTGCTGGGGGAGGCCCTGCGGAGGTAAGGAGGGCTGGGGGCGCCAGGGAACCGGGTGCAGTGGCAAAGGCTGGGGTTAATGGAGGGCTGTGAGAGGAATGAAAGCCCCACACATGAGGTGGCGTCCACACTCCCTGCCCTTTCCCACACATTGTCTTAGAGCAGGGCCCCACCATGCTCAGCCACCCTCCCGGCCGTTTGGCCCCTCTGAGGCAGCCTGGCCTGTCCAGAGCAAAGCTCTAAGTGCAGGAAGCCAAGTCCACTGGTGACACACAAGCAGCCTCGTGGGCTGCAGAGGCAGGGCTGGCTCTCCTGGGGCAGGGTTCAGGCAGGGCAGGGCAGAGGCTGCTTCTGAAGGGAGCCTTGTGGCTTCCCCTGCCTCGTCCTGGTGAGACAGGACTGTTCTGAGGGGCTTTTGAATTTTCCTGGATTACATCACTAAGTCCAAACCACGTTTTAGTATTGCCTTCTCTTGGATAGTTCAGTTAGCCTGAGGGACCAATTAGAGGCGTGGTGTGTTCCCATTCAGCTAGAATTTTGAGGGGTGGCAAACGCCTTCAGGGCTTGGCGGCTACATGGTGGCTGCAGAAAAGCAGGTCACCACTCCTGACTGGGCCTTTTCTTCTGTGGGTATTGTGTTTAACAAGGATGGCTCATCCTTTCTAGGGGAGATGAAGCCTTGTTAGGGGAAGTGAGTGGGACATAATGGGGGCCTTCCACGCCGATTCCCTGACCCCCACTTCCCAGGTGGACACCAGCTCCCTGAGCGGTGACAACACCCTCATGTCCACTTTGGAGGAGAAGGAGACAGACGGGGAGCAGGGTCCTGCAGCCTCACCAGCCCCAGTGGATGAGCCCTCCAGCCCCCTCCTATCCCCCAGCTGCACCTCCTCATCCTCGGCTGCCAAGCTGCTATCCCCACGTCGAACCACATCCCGGCCGCGTCTTGGTGGCAGAGGGCGGCCAGGAAGGGCAGGGACTTCAAAGTCTGAGGCTGGCCCCTCTGCTCACCCACGGACCCTAGAGGGGCTGCGGCTGCCCCCCATGCCATGGAATGTGCCCCCAGATCTGAGTCCCAGGTGAGCAGGCCCTCGGACCCCATGACAGAGATGGTGGTGATGAGGCTGAGGCCCCAGCCAGGTACACCCCCTTCCGGGTGCCCATCCTTCCCTCTTAACTCCTCCAGCCTATGTGTTCCAAGCCTGCCTCCTCCAGGAAGCCTGCCTTGACTCCTCCATCCTCCTGCTGTCCCACCCCACTGTTAGTGCATGGCATCTCCTGCTCTGAACTCTTGCTGTTCCAAGTTGCTCAAACTTGGCTCCCCAGCTAAACTGCAGGCTCCCAGGAGAAGGGACCATGTATTAGCTTTCTCTCGGGACCCCAAGGGCCCCTGTCCAGCTCCAGGCTCCTGCAGCCTCTGTGTGTGGACACTGGGGCACCATGTCCTGTGTAACACTATAGTGGCTGCCTATCGATTAATTTGTTGCTCTGGTGCCTGGGTCCACAGGGTGGTAGATGGCATTGAAGATGGCTGTGTTTCAGACCAGCCCAAGTTCTCTTTCCGTGTGGGGCATTCTGGTCCAGAATGTAGCAGCAGCCCCTCCCCTGGGCCAGGTAGGTACCGGGGCCCGGGGATGGGGTAGGTTGGTGGGACAGCTCCTTTGCCCTATGAACCATCAGCACTAGAGAAAGCAGCAGGGCACAGACCGTGACTGGAAGCCTTTTGCCTTCTGCACCATTTTGGGCGAGGGAGGTTGGTGGTAAGGACCAGCACCGTGGCAGTAGATGTACCTCGGAATTGGGTCTGGTTCTCTGCTCTGTTGGCCTTCTAGCAGTGTGAACTTGGCTCCTCTGGACCCAACTTCCTGTCTATTTAATGGGTTATAATGTAACTAAAGCCGTTAGCACAGTGTCTGGCTCACTGAGGAGATAGAGGGCTGGGGATCCAGGGGTGGAATTGGCTCCAGGCTAGGCCAGGCTAATGAACTGCCTGGAATGTCCCTTTCCCTGGAGGACAGAACAGGGGACAGGCACAAAGAACAACTTCCTGAAGGGGAAGAGAATGCTAGGCAGTATGATTAAGGGCTACTGGGAGGTGTTTTCCCTGCCCCTGACAGGGCAAAATTCAGCATGTTGGGCAAGGCCAGAAGCAATGGTTCTTGGAGTCAGGTCCTGCCAGGTCAATGTGTCTGTTCCAACTGGGGCAGGGGCCTGGATGCCACATTCTGTCTCCATTTACCAACCCCATCCTCCTATCCACAGACAGTGGCCTGCTCACTGTCCCCCTTGGGCCCAGCGAGGCGAGGAATACAGACACTCTGGACAAGCTTCGGCAGGCGGTGGGTGAGGGGCAAGGTGGAGGCAGGGAGGGCCAGGGCAGGCAGTGCTGTGTGAAGTGCCCCACTCCCCTCTGACCTTGCCTCCTCCCACCCCCAAAGGTGATGGAGCTGTCTGACCAAGTGCTACAGATGCGGGAGGGACTGCAATCACTTCGCCAGGCTGTGCAGCTCATCCTAGCACCCCAAGGGGAGGGCCCGTGCCCTCAGGCATCAGCAGAGGGGCCCTGCCCAGCCAGCACCTCTGGACTCCTGCAGCCTCTGTGTGTGGACACAGGGGCATCCTCCTGCTGCCTGCAGCCCTCAGCTGGCTCTGTCTTGAGTGGGACTTGGCCCCACCCTCACCCAGGTCCCCCTCCCCTCATGGCACCCTGGCCCTGGGGCCCCCCAGCATCTCAGAGCTCCCCCTGGCCTCGAGCCACAGCTTTCTGGACCTCCACCTCAGACTCAGAGCCGGCCGGCTCAGGAGAACTCTGCTCTGAGCCCAGCACCCCTGCCTCACCTCCTCCTCCTGAGGAAGGGGCTAGGACTGGGCCTCCAGAGCCTGTGAGCCAGGTTGAGGCAACCAGCACTGGAGAGCCCCCACCAGGGTCAGGGGGCCTGGCGTTGCCCTGGGACCCCCATGGCCTAGAGATGGTGCTTATTGGCTGCCAGGGCTCTGGCACAGTCCAGTGGAGCCAGGAAGAAGGCACAGGGGTCTGACTGCCAGCCCCAGAGCTCAGTGTTGCCAGACGCGCTGCCATCTGCTGCTCTGCCCAACCTCAGGGTGAAGGAAGGGCAGCACACCCCCGGGACTCTGTGCTGCCCACATGTGGGCTCAGGGCAGGCAGTGTGGGAGCGAAGCAGGTCCTGGCCTCAGACCCTCATGGAGGGTGGAGCCTCAGGGGAAGACCCCAGGGCTAGGAATCCACTCCTGGGGCCCCTCCTCAGCCTGCTGCTCTGACCTCTTCATCTCCCTTTGCAGGCTGGTGGGCAGAGGCCTGAGGACAAGGAGGGGTTCTGCCATCCCCTGCATGTGCACCCACCTCTACCTTTCCCATTTTTTATATTAAAAAAATAATAAAAGAAACTACTTTGGAACTTGGTGCTTCTTATTTACAAAAGAAAAACAATAAAGGAAAAGTCTGAAGCTAATCAGCTGGAGACACAGGAGTGAAGGTGGCAATCTGGGGGGAAGAGCTGGAGGGGCCACAGGGGGAGAGGGCTCTGGCTCTAGGAAGCCTCTACTGGCTTCCCAATGGCCAGTCCCACCCTCCCTCAAAGGCTCAAATCAATGGGCCAGCAGCTGGGCCTCCCACTGCCCTCTCTAGGCAGAAGGTTTTTCCAGGAGCCTGAGTTTCCAGCTCCAGGGGCTGGAATGGCAGGGGAAACTGAGGCCAGAGAGAGCCCAGGGGTCCTGCTACCACTAGTCACTGCGGTGTGATCTTGGCAGCCTCGGCCCGGATGAGGGCAATGAGATCCTGGTTGATGAGGAAGACAAATCGCAGGCTGGCGATCTGGGTGGGAGAGAAAGGCGGCTCAGGACTGAGCTGGGACCAGGAGCCAGGCCCACATACATGCTCACCACACCCCAGGTCTCATCATGGCCTCCCACCTCCCTCCCAGCTCACCTCCACCACAGAATTGTTGCTGAGGCGCCATTTGGAGCCACATAGCACAGGCCGTCCATCAATGTAGATGGGCCGCCGGCCCTCATTGGCAATGAAGAAATCGCCGTTGTTCTTCAGCTTGATGACCCCTGCAGTAGTAGAGAGGGAAAAGGGGAAGACGGGATGGGGGAAGGCCAGGAGAGAGCCAGGAGCCTCCATGTCCCATCTCTGCGTCCTGGGGACAGGAGCTAGAAGGCACCTAGGACTCCCAAGTTAGAGATCTTGAAATGCTGCTCCGTCAGCTCCTGCCTCAGCTGGTCCATGAGGGTTCCCACAGAAAGAAGCCCCAGAGCCAGAAACGGCAGCGAGGCGCTGAGAGACACATCCTCACACTGCTTCCTGCTGTAGCGGGGTGGGGTGTGGGGGGGCGGTTACCTTGCTTCCGGGAGATCTTCCAGGCTGGACCCTCCAGAGACAGGTCCACGTCAATCTGATTATCCTTGGTTGCTCTGCCCAGGGTGATCTGGGGGAATGGGGCAGGTGAGGGCTCGGACCTGAGGAATGGGGAGGGGGGGTCCACGCAGGCCAGGGAGAGATGAGAAATCAAGGACTACACAGGGAAAGGGAGGGGAGGGGGAGGGCCTGCCTCACCTCGCGTGAGCGCATCAGGTACCGCACCATGCGGCCCCGCAGCACTGCCAGTGTCTGGTTGTCAAAGTCAGGGGAGCTCATGCCTGGGGGGAAGAACAGTGTTAGGAAGAGCCCACCCTGAGGGCCAGAGTGGAAGGCAGGGAACCAGGACAAGGCCTTTGAGAGAAAGAAGTCAGGCCTGGGAAAGGAGGATACCCAGCTAGGCAACAACGGGCTCAGGGTGCAGCAAAGGACATTGCAGAGTGCGCCTCTGGTCCCCCTGCCTCCTCACCTGTGATGCTGTCTACTAGCACCTGCCACTTATGCAGTTCCTGTTCCAGCTGCCGAATCTCTCGCTTCTGGCGCCGGTCAGCCACTGTCAGCTCTGGGGTAAGGTGGGATGGTAAGGAGGGACACTCCAAGGCCACCGGCACCTTTTACTCGTCCTCTCCGTTCCAGTAGGGGCTTCCATTTCCTCACTGCCCTGACTGGGGCACACTTACCATGTTCCAGAACCTCATCCCGCATGTCCCTGAGGGCGAGAAGGATGAATTAGGCTCCACTTGCAGCTCGCCAGCTATTGGCTCATTAGGATATTCCTGAGCCCCTTCAGCCAGTGGCCTAGAAGGCTATTTTTCTAGCCATGGCCTTCCCTGGGACAGGGGTGGGGACAAGGGTAAGGCAGTTGAGCCTAAGAGGGCCCCAAAGGGAGGCGAGGGGGCTCAGCGGGGAGGGCCAAGCACCAACAGCTACAACTGGAGCCCAGGGTTGAGTCTGGGCTGGGCTGGAGACTCTGCTCTCTCTGCCCCTGCCTGTGGCCCCAGCCACTCACTTAAGCTTGCTGTCATCAATCAGGTCCTCTGCATCGGAGAAGTTCAGCACTTGGTCCCCCTTGGGCAGCGGCTGCACTGAACAAACAAGAGGAGGGGTGAGCACCAGGGCCTTCCTCAAGCCCAGGCTGCTGAGCAGAAAAGTGAGCCTGGGAGAGAGGCCAGGACAGGTGAGGGAGCACATGCCAGACTAGGCTGTGCTCTAACTTGGCACAAAGCATTCTTGGACTCAGGGGAAAAGTGGTTCTCGAAAGGGAAGGAAACTAAAACCGACCTTTTGCATGGGCTTTCAACATGCAAAAGACTCAATTATGTAGCCTTGAACTAACAGGGAAGGCGCTACTGTCAGCTCCATTCCACAGATGAGGAAACAGGTACAAGAGGGTGGGTTAAATTTTTTGGCCCTAGTTTGAGACAGAGCCAGGATTCAAGTCCTGCTCTCTTGATTCCAAATCCAAACTTCTTCCCCCATGCCCAGTGCTCTCCAGCACTTCCTGCCACACTCCATGAGGGGCTCAGAGGCACGTGCCCGTCAAGGCCCACTTAGAAAGTATGTGCTAGTGAGGAGCTGCCCCACCTGAAGCCAGTGTTTTTCAATCTGTGGGTCATGACCTGCTAATGGGTCATGAAATTAGTTTCATTTTTTCAGAAAATGAAATAGGATATCAGAATCCAAAGATATTGTTTCATGAAAGTTTTTCAGTTTTCTGTTCAAAATGTAAAAAAGGGATCAGAGCCCCAAAACTTTGAGAACTTCTGCCATTAGGCCATTGTCTGCTGGTGGCCACGCAACGCTGGCTGAGGAAGGGAGGGGCTGCGTGGGAGCCATGAGTGCTCCTTTCCTCTGCTCCCTTTGGTCAGACTGTGAGGAGACCAGGGGTTGGTGTGTCACCCCCACCAAGCTCCTCCTCTGCCAGAACTGCCTGAAATTCCCCCAATCTATTGTTCAACTGACTCAACAGCTAGGCACTCCTAGCTCTAAAGAGCAAAGGAGAAATAAACTCCCCACATATAAAGACTCTTGAAGGAAAAAAACAAAACCTTTAAGATAAGGTTTTCAGTTAACAAATAAGTTTACACAAAATAACTTTCAAAACAGTGACAAAAAAGCTGGCTTTAGCAGTAAAAATATACTTTATCCACTGGCTAGTCTCTCTGTGGGAACTGTGATATCTGAGTCTGAAGAAGCAGCAGAATTTTGGAAGGTGCAGGAATAAAGAGGGCTGCCCTGGACCACTAAAATCAGAGGTCTTTAGGAAGGAAAGACAGGGCCTCCCTCTGATAAGCAGATTTTCTAAAATCTATTCCTAACCAAATGGTGCAGGAAGGTAAAGGGCACAGCCAAAGCTTCATTTTCAGAACAGTATGAAAAACTATGCAAAAAGCAATGGGCAGTAACATCCAGGAAGCTAGATGGTGCTTGTACTGTGGAAATGGTAACCCGAATCACCAATTTCCCTGAAGGGTTCCTGCAGTCTGTTTGTTTGTTTACCAGGGGCTTTGAATTTATTTTTATTTTTATTAATTTTTTCTTGAAGCATAATTTACTATACATATTTTGGGGGTACAGTGTTGACTACCATCACTACCATCACCTTGTGATGATCAAGTTCCTCCAGTTTAATCAGACTGCTTCCCAATACTTCTCACTAGGAGAGTGAGATTTTGTTGGTGAGGGGAGAGGAAGCAGAGAGCACTCTGGCCCTTGGGAAAGGAGAAAGGCAGATGGACTGGGTGTGAAGTCCCACTGGAAATCTGTGAACGGCCTGAGGGCAGCTGAGAGCACCGACTGCCTGGTGGGAGGCAGAAGAGCTTAGAAAAAGCGTTATTATCTCTAGGGTGGCAAACAAAGGGAAGGGTGAGCAGTGAGGGGACTTCCACATTTTTCTCATGTTTGAATATTATCTATGAAGAATATATTAATGTATTGTTTATGTAATGGTAAAATATGTCAGGAAAAAACAAAAAAGAAATGGCAGATAACTCTATTTGGACTTTTTGTCCAGGATTCCAGGCAATTTTGGCTACCCTTACCACAATGCCAAAGACCTCTTCAGCTACTTTCTCTCTGGAAGGAAGGAAATAGTTTTTGTTGCAAAGAGACACTGGGGGCTACTGAGGGATCTGTCACAGGGCATTTGAGGGCAGCTGTGCCTAGAGCATTTCACACCCCCACACCCATGCACACTAGTACTGCCAGCTACTGGGGCACTACCTGTCTGGTCCTCCAGCAGGTAATACTGCTTCATGAGTTGCCAGTGGGCCTGCAGAGCCTTGGCAGTACGGGCCAGGTAGAAGGCATCAGGGTGTCTATGCAGCAGGTCCTGGAAGGTCTCCAAGGTGGGCTGGCTGGTCTGGGGGGTGAGAAACATGCTCTAGGAGTCTGAGTTTTCTCACTTCTGCCTCTGCCTTATCACGCCTGCCCCAGTCCCCCTCATGAGCTGGAAGAAGCAGCAGAGTCGCCTGGGGGAGCCAAGCTTGGCTTCTCCTGAGGCCAGTTATAAAGGCCCCTGCTGGGCCGGCCCGGTGGCGCACTGGATAGTGCGCCGCTTGGGAAGCGCGGCGGCGCTCCTGTCCGAGGGTTCGGATCCCACATACAGACCGGCTCCCGCTCACTGGCTGAGCGAGGCGTGGGAGCAACACCGAGGCTTGCGATCCCATTGCCGGTCCCCGGTCCGGTACGGGGGCAACACTGAGGGTTGCGATCCGTTGCCGGACACGGAAAAAAGACAAAAGACAAAAAAAAAAAAAAAAAAAAAAAAAAAAAAAAGCCCCCCGCG